TCCATTGCCCCTCCTGGGTGCCTGTGACATCCTTGGTGGGTGTCTGCAGGGAGAGTATAGGGACTTCATCAAACATCCATTCACTGACTTATAAATCTTCCACCCAGCATATAGGTGGGCACATGCCTTTCTGCATTACTGCCGCTAGATGGAGCTGAGGAAATTCTTATGGTATTTGGCCAGCTATACGATGGGCAGAAGATTCATAAATCAGACCTTAAGTATTTAAAGTGCACCTGTGCCCAGATGATGGACATTAAACCATTTGCATATTCTTATCAAGCAATAAAACAGCATTAAAACAAGTACTCACTCACCTATCTAGCTGCTTCTAATGTGAAGTTTTTTAATGATCATAACAAAGTTGGTTTTAGTTGGTTTCTATTGTAACAGCCAGCTGCAGAAGGGGGGGAAGGGGCGTTATTCCAACCAGCCAATGGCCGCCCTTGCTGGAGGGGGAGGGTTATTTTTACAGCCTGTTATAGACTACCAGTGCTGGGTTGTTAACATTTCTACCACTGATCACCAATAGGGATGCACCGATACCGTTTTTTTGGTATCGAGTGCGAGTACCGATATATTTTTTTTCCAGTACTCGCTGATACCCAATACCGATACCAAAAGTCCCATTGAGAAAGCCGGCAAGCGTGTAATGACTGGCCGCTTGGCTTCCTGATTAGCCAGAAAGCAGTCTCCATGCTCCGTCGTCACCCAGCCAATCAGGAAGCTGGATGGCATGCAATGACTCGCCGCCCGGCTTCCTGATACCAGAAGTTCCAGTATCGGGATAAGTATCGGGAGCATTTGGGCGAGTATGAGTATCGGCACCAATACTAGTATCGGTATCAGTGCATCCCTAATCACCAATGCCAGTTCTGGGGTTACTATTACTGCCACTGACACCAATGATGGGGCTTATTTTAATCCCACACTAGAATACATAGACTATGAACTGACAACCACTTGATTGGTCACGCCTTTTGGTGTATGGAACTTTTTATCTTGTTCCCTTAAAGGCATTCCTCCATGAAGGAAATAGAATCTCTATGCTCCTTGGGTGGATTAATATGTGAAGTTCAGTCTCTCTGCATTAAGTTGGAGATATACTTAGCCCTCCAAAGAACCACTCTGCTCCCACCCCCAGCATGCTTAACATTTCATTTAATGATTATTAGTGAAAATAACTTGGATGTATGTGAGCGTTGTTAAAAAAAAAATGATCCACCCTGGTTGCCAGAAATGCTAGATACACCACTGACTCTCTGCACCCACCCAGAGCAATCACATCAAATACAATGCAAGTGCAATCCATATCTCAGCATGAGTGTGTATACTGTATATATCTCCTTCTGTAATGCCTTTGTAGCCATTGGGCCTGATTTACCAAAATATATGTGCATATGCCCTATACACTGAGTGGCCAGATTATTATGACCACCTGACGTTTGTAAGCAAATTAGCTATAATTTGGCGCTGAAGTTGCTAGAGGGCCAGACCGTTATAAATAGGGAAGCAGGTTGGTTACCACGACAGTAGAAGTGATTTGTTTCTGAAGATACGGGGAAACAACGCCATTTATCAGCCTTTGAACATGGGATGATTGTTGGCGCTAAAGCCATGGAGCAAGTATTAGCAAAACAGCAGAATTCACTAAATGTTCAAGAGCAGCTGTTGTTAAAGTGTTTAAAGACCGGACTGTCAGCCGAAAATCTGGGTCTGAACGTGCGAATTGTGGCCGTCAGCGACTAGTCAATGTTAGGGCAGAACGGAGAGTGGCTAGACTGGTACAAGACAACAGAAGGGCAACAGTGCCGTGTCAGATTCCTCGCATCACCTTTCATCATCTCGTGGAGTCCCGAGGCCACCCAACGAAGTACTGATGGGGTGGTCATAATAATCTGGCCACTCAGTGTAATGAGGCAGCCTTAGGCTCATTGGGGGGCGGCAGGTGTTGGGGTGACAGAGGGATGGCTACAGTGTCCCAGGTTGGTAAGAACTCTTAGCAACCTGTGACGCTCTGTCCGGCTTCCAGCCCAGCTCAGTGACATCACCGGTTGCCAGATGTCAGTGAGCTGGGCGGGACGCTGGGCAGAGCCACTGGACCTAGAGGTAAGAAGCACACCCCAGGATGACCATTCATCCTTCCCCCCGGGATGACCTTTCACTGACAGAAAGTGAACTTCCTTCCTCAGGAAAGACCATTCACTGGCAGCAAAACCACCTTCGGTGACCTCACCCCCCCCGATCTCAGGTGGCATATAGTGTCGTGACAGCCCTGCATATGCTGGCACCTCAGTTGTGAGAGCACAAGGAAACCACATGCTCATTGAAGTGCCCACAATGAATGCAAATGGCTCTCATTAAAAAAGACTGTAGGAAACCTTAATTTTTAAGAATGTTTTCACTGATGGAGCTTTTTTGACAGGTGTTCTAGCACAGCACTTGTAGATTTATGTGTAGTGAGGTCACATTTATTTTTAGATGGGAATTGCATTATTTTTTATTTTAAGGTCCAAAAAATAAATTATGTTATTATAAATAAAACGTTGGCAGAGAAGTAGTTGCTTTGCCCAAATTATTTATTTTTATTGCTGTCATGCCTGGTCCTCGACAAATGTAAATCAATTAGTAAAACTAGATATTGATCGCGGCATTGATTTGCCTTGTGTACTTTACAGCTCCCTACCAGGTGACATTTTCATTCGATGCGGGAAATGGGCCCATGGAGGTTTCTTTGCAGTCTGTCACGGCCTTGAACGATGGTCAGTGGCATCACGTCAGAGCCGAGAGGAATATTAAGGAAACCAGCCTAGTCGTGGATAACCAGCCGAGGAAACTGGTACAGACCCCGTTTGATGGGCGTCCCAGACCGCTGCTGAATGCTCAGCTCTATGTGGGTGAGTCCAGATTTGCTTTTAAGCCATATAGAATAACATATATATTGGAATGATATTTAACCTATTACTGACTGCAACCTGTATATTAATGTTTTCATGGCCGAGAGTTTTCCTGTGGTGGGGGTCCTCTCCACACACCTTACAGCAGTCCTGGCCAAATAAGAACGGTGGTGCTCGCAATGACTATCACGGATGGCACCGTGCAAAATACGAAGTAAAAGAAACAGGTCACCAGCACTCGTTTATAATAAATGTGTCCTTTTTTAATGGACAATTGTGCCACTACAATCAACAGAGCCGCTCTGTTGATTGTAGTGACACAATTGTCCATTAAAAAAGGACACATTTATTATAAACGAGTGCTGGTGACCTGTTTCTTTTACTTCATGGCCGAGAGGACATCCCTAATCTAAATTTTGTTGTATAACTAGAATCCTGCAGCTGAAAAAGCCCAACTAACCATCAGTAGCAAATCAGCTTGATTACCAGTCATGTGACTACCTTTGCATTCAAAAAAAGTGTGTTTTACTGCACTCCTTACCGGATCTCCTAGGAGATGATGTCTGTAATCGGGTGCTTGTAGCGACCACGAAGGCACCGTGTAACCAAGTAATAATCCCAAAAGATGTCACCAGCACTCCAAATGTAGAATCAAAAACTTTTAATGACAACGGTCATTCAAAATCACATTCTGAGCCTGATGACGGGGACCCTACGTGGCCCCGAAAGTACTTGTGATTTTGAATGACCGTTGTCATTAAAAGTTTTTGATTCTACATTTGGAGTGCTGGTGACATCTTTTGGGATTATACCTTTGCATTCAGTCGTGATGATAACACCATCCACAGGATTTATATAGCGCCAACAGTTTGTGCAGCTCTTTACGAAACTGAGGGAGACAATACAGTTAACAGAACAATTTCAGTGCAATAGGGGTAGAAGGGCCCTGCTTGTGAGAGCTTACAATCTAGTAGGAGGGGCAAGTGACACAAAAAGTATTCACTGTTTGGGATAATTTAATAGAAGAACTGAAAGGACAGTTATATTGAGGTGGAATAGGCCTCCCTGAAGAGATGAGGCCCTTGGCAAGTGTTTTTAAATAAGAGGATCCTAAATATCACCAAACATGAAGGGGGGTTGGTTACTTTTATCTTCTTGGCCGAAAGGCAGACAATTGCTAAATCCTGGATCACAACCCAACCTAAATTTTGGAGAAGTCAAGCAGCAAATCACAAGCTCATGTGCTGTGGTGAAACTGCAAATCCCATTATGCGTCTGCCTCTGTGGGTCATACCTGTGGCTGACAGAGTCTTGCAATGTCTCTAGGGATTTGTAGTTGCGCCACAGCTGGAGGGCCGAAGTTTGCCTACCCCTGGTCTAATCCATTATTGGAAGCTAGAGCAATTAAATAATTTCTCTACATCATTACGTATTCCAGAAGCTGACAATGACTTGCTTTTTGTATAGGTGGGACAGCATCCAAACAGAGGGGCTTCATGGGGTGTGTCCGTTACCTCCAACTTAATGGCCAGACCTTGGATCTGGAGGAAAGAGCCAAAGTGACCCCAGGGATCAGGCCGGGCTGTCCCGGCCACTGTAGCAGTTATGGCAACTTGTGCCACAACAATGGCAAGTGCATGGAGAAACGCAATGGGTACACCTGCGACTGCACAAACTCCGCCTTTGAGGGACCCTACTGCAAGAAAGGTGAGGCTTGCATTGTCATTGGAAGAATAACCCTAATGAATGTTTATGTAACTAAATCAGAACAATACATGTTTATGTAACAAAGTCAGCCTTTCCCAACCTTTGCAAGATGGAGGATCCCTTGAAAGAATAAGGAAAGTGGCGTTCTTAGCATTTTTGACATCTAGGGCTGCGCTACACAACTAAATTATTTGCAGGAAGAATAATAGAAATGGACAGAAAATCAACGCAGGCAGTGAACATTGTCTTCGACTGGTGGTTTGCTGTATAGCATAAAGGCCTTTCCTTAAAGGAGAACTATGGGGTCAGTGCTTTTCCCCATAGTTCTCAGGGTCACGGGAGGACACAAACTAGCATCCTCCCATCACCCCAAGCTCAGTATACCGCGAGCTACAGCTACATATACTGAGACCGCCGCAGCCAGGACAGATCCTGACATTACTGTCGAGAGCCACCCAGCTGCGTGAGTGACAGCTATCTAGAGGCAGAGCCAGCTGTACCCGCCCCGTCTGTTCTGCCAGTCAGCGCTGGAGGATCGGACAGGGGAGGGGGGGAATCCCTGCAGGGAGCCGTGAGTGACAGTCACGGCTTTCTGCAAGGACAGGATCGAGAAGTGAGCGAGCGACGGTATGCGTTCACTCCCAATCTATTGAGCCGACGTGTGACAGTTTCATTGTCACACATCGGCTCCAACTATGAGGCTGAGTGATTTTCACTCACCTCATAGTTCTCCTTTAAGCATGATCATGCAAGGAATTCAAACTGACACACGTCTCAGCTTAAAGACAGTTCCTAAAGTTTATTAACTAGCACACTGCTTTATATGCTTTGTAATTATCATCATTCTGACTGTGCCTGCAGCTAAACGTTGTCTACAAAATGTCCTTCAGAAAAGGTAAGTTAGTTTTTACTAAAGCCCGGTACTTTTTTTTACATTTTTGTTTAATTCGAAAGAAAAAGTCCAAAAAAGAAAGACAAGATGGTTGAATGGAAGCAAAAGAATTTCATGCATGCACATTCTTTCACAACATTGAAGTTTTTTTTTCTTACATTGGTGTTCAGTGGAAAAATACTCCCTTGTGTTGATGGTCATTGGAAAAGACCCTTTTGACTTTTTTGGTGTTCAGTGGGAGAATGGTCCTCTTGTCGTGGCCAGTGAGAAAAGAACTGCTTATATTGGGAAGAATGCTCCTTAAAGGAGAACTATGAGATGAGTGATTTCCGCTCACCTCATAGTTCTAGCCGACCTGTGACAATGAGATTGTCACAGGTCGGCTCAGTAGACAGTAAACACATAGAGGCGTCTCAGTATACCGCGAGCTGTAGCTGAACTTAGGGTAACGGGAGGATGCTAGTTTGTGTCCTCCCGTTACCCTAAGGAGAACTATGGGGAAAAACACTGACCCCATAGTTCTCCTTTAACTTATTGGGATTCTTGGTCACTGGAAAAAAAATCTCTTTTCTTTGGTGGTCAGTGGAAAAAATGACCCCTTCCCCCCCTACTAAGAACTAACAAGATCTTTGGTGTCAGTGGTTACACATCTGAGAGTCAGGTATTATTCAGGGAACCCCTAGCAACCTCTGGAGGAATAGCGTTCCACAGAACCCTGGTTGAGAAAGGCTGAACTAAGTGGTTACCATTCTGGCCTTTCAGTAGTGAACTTCATCCCTTTAACTCTGTATGGTAGTTTGGAGATTGTGACACACAGGGCATCTCATTCCATTTTCTTCTTGCTTTTTAAAAACCTTGTCTGTATCTCTGTTGTCTTTCTAGAGGTTTCCGCAATGTTTGAAGCCGGGACCTCGGTCACCTATGTTTTCCAGGAGCCGTATCCAGTGTCCAGGAACAGCAATGCATCAGCCTCAGCGATATATGCAGATACAGTGATATCCAGGGAAAATATCGCCTTCAGCTTTGTTACAGCTCAAGCTCCGAGCCTCTTACTCTACCTAGACTCCTTCTACCAGGACTACCTGGCCGTACTGCTCTGCAGGAATGGTGAGCCTCTTACATGTTCTGTATATTGCACTGTGGAGCTTATGCAGCCTCTTGGTATAAATGTGTGTGTTGTAAAGTAAATCACAGCTCCAAGCTCACTCCCGTGATGGACTACAATCTCATGTTTAGATTACTAATTTGTATTGAGAATGTAGTCCATCCCGGGAGCAAGTTTGGAGTGGTGACCACTTCCCACCTGCACAGGGACCATGGGGAACATAAGTAGCCCCCCTCCAGAAGGAAGGACAGTGTCAGCACCAATTCAGAGATGATTGGAGGATCTACAGCCGAGTGATACACAAATAAGATACATTGTTGTTAATAGTTAAGGTCCTTGAATGTATTTTTAAGATTTAACTCCTGAGTTTAGTGTTACATTAAGTACACAAGACCACCCCCTACTATAGAACACCCGTTGGTCCCCACCAGTAACTTGGTATTCTATGAACACCTAAATCTCAGGCCTGCTATTTAGCATATCAGTAATTCCCATTGTACTCATTAATGTCTCCTCAATTTATTTTTATTCACACCTCTGATATAGTCTCATGATGCCTTCTGATCATTTGAACACACACACCCTTAAATTCCACCAAATTCCTCCTCCTCAAAGACTTACAGACTTACTTTATATCTGAAACTGAACAGCCTAGAATGGTTTGGAAGACCCTGCAGCCCTGTTCAGAGGCAAGGTGAAGCCCTTCCCAGTATGGTTGCCAACATTTTGGAATGTTTAGATTGAGGTGATGGGAGTGAACAAAATGTTGAATAGCTTTTCTCAACCAGGTGCCTTCTGGCTTCCACAGGGGTGCCTTGAAACTTTGTGATGGTAGGACTCTGGTGTGAATGGGGAACTTTGATGTAGAAGGAGGGGTTCTGATACAAAATAAAAAAGGTTACTGATATGAAAGGAGGGCTCCTGACATGAAAGTGGGCTCCGGAGATAAAGGGGGCTTCTAATGTGAAGATAATCTTCTAATGTGAAAGAATGGGGACTCTGATGTAAAATGAGGGGTCTTCTTATGTGAAGGGGAGGTTGCTGATGTAAAGGGGGACACTGATGTGAAAGGGCGAATTCTGATGTGAAAGGGTGAGGACTGTAATGTGAAAGGAGGGGGCTTCTAATGTGAAGGGGGGCGTCTGATGTGAAGAGAATCTTCTAATGTGAAAGAATGGGGACTCTGATGTAAAAGGAGGGGGCTTCTGATGTGAAGGGGGACTCTGATGTGAAAGGGCGAATTCTGATGTGAAAGTGGGGCTTTTTGGTGTGCAGGGGGGCTCTTGGTTTTTAAAGTAAAGAATGGAACCCCACTTTTGTATGTGTTTTTCCATGAGTCCCCCTTACAATGTAGACTGGGGTGCCTTAAGATTTTGCATACTTTTTAAGGGTGCCGTGACTAAAAAAAGGTTGATAAATACTGGTTTAAAGTTTAAGCAGACTTCATATATAGGTATTTCAAGGGTTCCTCCTTGGTAAGAAAGTTCAGAAAAGCTCCTGTAGACTGAGACATAAGACAGCTGCCTCTAGTGACAGGTGTACTTTGAGTGAGTGACAGGTGCACTTTGGTGAATATTACACAGAACAACTTCATTACTCCCTTTGCAGTGTGGCGGAGTCGAGCGCCGGGCTCCGGATCTTTTGCGGCTCAGGAGATAAACGCGTTAGCCGCTAAGTTGATTACCCCATCAACCCGACAAGCTGAGAGCATCCTTGTATTTCTGTAAACACATCTCCAAACTCATTTGTTTCTTTTTGACAATTTACACACTTTTTTTGTTGTTGTTCTTGAGTCAGAATTAAAAGGCTCTGAATGAGCTGGAGATCCGCCGCTCCGTATCAGCAGATGCCTTTCCAAACAGCAAATTTACCAAATAAAAGTCCCCGGAGGGAGAGCGCTAATTAAGAAACAGGTTTTCAGCCCAGCTGTTCCGAAAAACGAGCGTTGTTATTTTATTTTTATTTTTTTCTTTAAACATTGATGCAGTAATGTTGAGTATTGCGGTCTGGGACCAGCAAGATACCGGGAGATATTTCAGGGCTGAATGACAGCAGATGTGCCTCGCTCGGATGTTATACGGCATTAAAGCGGGAATGATGCCTCCCGTAAATCTCCGGAATATTGTCACGTAAGCAAAAATTCGCCGAACGCAATTTGTCCTCCGCAACACTAATATTTGGTAATGTCTGACCTCCCTTCTTTAATTAGATTCCGCCGTAATTATTTTTTCTTTGAGCTCATTAATATCCTCTTCCGAGAGATGGAGGCTTTTTAATAAGTTGAAATAGCGTTCTGAATCATTTTAATTGTCAGGCCGGGCAAATTTTTAATCTCAGAGAGGATTGTATAATTCTGACTCGCCGAACGCCCGATGGGATTCATGAGGACTTCTTTTTTTTTTCTCTGGACTTACAGATTAGACTGACTCAGGAATTTTTTTTTTAACTTTCATAAATTGAAAAGAAAAAAAAAAAGTCATTATTGGACTAGGTGTGTTGTTGAAAAGTCAATGTGCTCTTTCACTTATTAAAAAAAGGCGAAAAATTTGAAAAATAAATAAAATATTCTGCTGCATGATAGGATACATTGTTTTCCTTTTAATTGTGTTGGTGGACCTGAATGTGTTCTGATTGTAGTTAGGTTACCATTTTGTCCTCCTGGTTCGGGGTGCATTGGTGGTGATGTGAGGGAACCATGTAATGGTCCTAGGCTGCCTGACTCCAGACAGAACCGTTAAGAGGTTCTGGCTCATTAGACAGCCAGTCTGTGTTTGGCGAGGAGCGCGTAGTCATCTTACAACTTGGTGATTTGTTATGTGTCTTTATTGGTTAAGATGCTTACATAGTTACATAGTTACATAGTTAGTCAGGTTGAAAAAAGACCATCGAGTCCAACCTATAGAGATAAAAAGAAGGAGAAGAAAAGCTTAAACAAAACACTATGCCCACAATTACCCAATGTTGATCCAGAGGAAGGCAAAAAAACCCTATAAAGCACGGTTCAATTTACTTCAACAGGGGAAAAAAATCCTTCCTGATCCCATAAGGCAATCGGATATTCCCTGGATCAACAATCTCTGATGCTTAATATACCTCTAAGAACTCAATATCCAGTAATATTCTGTGCATTTAGGAATACACCCAGATGCTTTTTTTAAAACAATTAAAAGGTGAGGTACACCTAATATGTTTCCGGGGATAGAGTTTGCCTTCTTCAAGGCTTGCCGCTGACTTATCAGACAATATATTTCCCACAACGTCCTACTATTGGACTTCAGACTCGGCAACAAGCAACAAGAACTCACACAAGCCCAGAAGTGGGGAGAGCCCATATGCCCCCCCAAACGCATTGGATTTACCCCACTATCTTAACCAATATGGACTCATAATACAACCCTAATTCCAAAAATGTTGGGACGCTGTGTAAAATCTACATGCAAAGAATGCAATCTCATAAATTCCTATTTTATTCACAATATAAAATAGAAAACATATCAAAGGTTTAAATGAGAAAATGGATCATTTAAAGAAAAACATAAGGTCATTTTGAAATTGATGGCAGCAACATTTCTCCAGTTTCTATTCTATTAACAACACTGTGTAAATGTTGGGGAACTGAGGAGACCAGTTGCTGGAGTTTTGGGAGAGGAATGTTGTCCCATTCTTGCCTGATATAGGATTCTAACTGCTCAAAAGTCCTGGGTCTTCTTTGTCGTATTTTTCGTTTCAAGATGTGCCAAATATTTTAAATTGGTGAAAGGTCTGGACTGCAGGCAGGCCAGTTAAGCACCCGGACTCCTCTACAACAAAGCCATGCTGTTGCCATAGACGCAGTATGCGGTTTAGCATTGTCCTGCTGAACTATAAAAGGCCTTCCCTGAACCTGGATATATCTTGCAGCATTGATGGGGCCTTTCCATATGTGCAAACTGCCCATGTCACAACACAGTCCATATATCCATGGCACTCAGAATCGCTGTTCCATCGATTCAAAGAGGGTGCAACGGTTGTCGATGGATGGCCACCACCTCAGTACATAGATAGACACCGGCACTAAACCATGTAATGGTCCTAGGCTGCCTGACTCCAGACAGAACCGTTAAGAGGTTCTGGCTCATTAGACAGCCAGTCTGTGTTTGGCGAGGAGCGCGTAGTCATCTTACAACTTGGTGATTTGTTATGTGTCTTTATTGGTTAAGATGCTTACATAGTTACATAGTTACATAGTTAGTCAGGTTGAAAAAAGACCATCGAGTCCAACCTATAGAGATAAAAAGAAGGAGAAGAAAAGCTTAAACAAAACACTATGCCCACAATTACCCAATGTTGATCCAGAGGAAGGCAAAAAAACCCTATAAAGCACGGTTCAATTTACTTCAACAGGGGAAAAAAATCCTTCCTGATCCCATAAGGCAATCGGATATTCCCTGGATCAACAATCTCTGATGCTTAATATACCTCTAAGAACTCAATATCCAGTAATATTCTGTGCATTTAGGAATACACCCAGATGCTTTTTTTAAAACAATTAAAAGGTGAGGTACACCTAATATGTTTCCGGGGATAGAGTTTGCCTTCTTCAAGGCTTGCCGCTGACTTATCAGACAATATATTTCCCACAACGTCCTACTATTGGACTTCAGACTCGGCAACAAGCAACAAGAACTCACACAAGCCCAGAAGTGGGGAGAGCCCATATGCCCCCCCAAACGCATTGGATTTACCCCACTATCTTAACCAATATGGACTCATAATACAACCCTAATTCCAAAAATGTTGGGACGCTGTGTAAAATCTACATGCAAAGAATGCAATCTCATAAATTCCTATTTTATTCACAATATAAAATAGAAAACATATCAAAGGTTTAAATGAGAAAATGGATCATTTAAAGAAAAACATAAGGTCATTTTGAAATTGATGGCAGCAACATTTCTCCAGTTTCTATTCTATTAACAACACTGTGTAAATGTTGGGGAACTGAGGAGACCAGTTGCTGGAG